TAGTTGTACCGATGTGAAGTAAAACAGAATACATAGAGACTCTATTAAAGAGTAAGGGTTTGTTGTTCTGACAAGGTTTCCTTGACAAACACCACCTGATAGCATGAATGTCACGATGATATTCGGATATATTGTACTGGGGTATTGTGTGACGTGCTGAAACCTGACATCAGAATATGGCATAATATTCCACGATCTAGCAGGAACGAGTGAAACGTCGTGTTCCTTCTTTACCTTCAGATTTGTATACCATTTTTAGATTTCCTGTTTAATATTCTAGTAGTAGCGGTTACATAGAGATGATCAGGTTTGTCATGACAAATAACATGAGTATATTATGTGTATGGTTTGTTCAAACGCTTTTTTTTTGTCGACCCAGACATAAGTATTTTGCAAACTGTATTTGTATGCAGTCAATGTTATATCCAACATATTTAATTACAGAAAATGTTGCCAACTCATTAAACGTACGATTAATTACTCACGTGCATATTAGGTCTCGTAGCACACGTTTATACTCCGTTTCCGTGAATAGTTCTGTCTCAATCTTCAAAAGTAACATAGTTTCTAATTCTATTCCACAACTTCAAGTAACATAGTTTTCAATTATGTTCCACAACTTCAAGTGACATAGTTTTCAATTCTGTTCTGCAACTTCAAGTGACATAGTTTTCAATTCTGTTCCGCAACTTCAAGTAACATAGTTTTCAATTCTGTTCCACAACTTCAAATAACATAGCTTCCAATTCTATTCCACAACTTCAAGTGACATAGTTTTCAGTTCTGTTCTCTATGTTACTTGAAGTTGTCAACAACTCCATACACCCATCTGCACTAAAATAACGGCCTTTACGTTACCTGTAACTATTATCACACACCTATACGTGGAAGAAGCAAAACAATCCGGAATCAAAACTTGAAGTTGCGGAACAGAATTGGAAATTTTAGTGCAGATGGGTGTATGGAGCCGTTATCTTAGTGCAGATGGGTGTGTAGAGCCATTATTTTATTGCAGATGGGTTTGTGGTGTCGTTATCTTAATGCAGATGGGTGCGTGGAGCCGTTATTTTCGTGCAGCTTGGTGTGTGGAGCCGTTATTTTCGTGCAGGTTGGTGTGTGGAGCCGTTATCTTCGTGCAGGTTGGTGTGTGGAGCCGTTATCTTAGTGCAGATGGGTGTGTGGAGCCGTTATTTTAGTGCAGGTGTGTGTGTATGGAGTCATTATCTTAGTGCAGATGGGTGTGTGGAGCCGTTATTTTAGTGCAGATGTGTGTATGGAGTCATTATCTTAGTGCAGATGGGTGTGTGGAGCCGTTATCTTAGTGCAGATGGGTGTGTGGAGCCGTTATCTTAGTGCAGATGGGTGTGTGGAGCCGTTATTTTAGTGCAGGTGTGTGTGTGTATGGAGCCGTTATCTTAGTGCAGATGGGTGTGTGGAACGTCTCGATCCGCATATTCTAACTCTGAGAATTTCGAGGTTTAAATTTTTTTCGTTTATTTTTGACTGCAGATCAACGGCTTCAACGTAGATGTATTAAAAATCAAACTGGTGTATTTACGTGTTTTACACTCACTAAAAAGAAACTTATCATTCTATATGTATTTGAAGAACTTGTAGCAAATCGTCAAAAACCTAATTTCATGTTAGTTCTAATTACTTTGTGGGGTCGTTATAATTATTGTCATCCACTCATCATCACTGTTGGCGAAAACAAACAAACAAACAAAAAACAACAATTCGTTAACGAAATTAACACTGCTTGGAACAGTGTGACGCAATTCTCTGACTAACATTTTGATGACACACTACAAAGGCTGAAGCAAGTGTATATGCCATATTTTATTTAATGTGAAGTATTTAAGTGTGACTCAGTGTTCAATGAGTCACTTTTACACTTCGTTTTCTTTTTTGTTTGTTTGAGAGAAGAAGAAAAAAAGGTGACGCTAAGGTTATCCTCCGTTTTGAGTCCGGTATCCTTTGTAATTGTCTATGTCCTTCTTGGGCATATTCAATTAGCTAGCGAAAGGATTATATAACAACAGTTCTCATAAAAAAACAAAAAACAATCAAAGTTTATTCAAGCTCGAGAGTCATAACATTATAATCTACTTCGTTTTTGCTCCCAAAGTAGTAACGTTATCATAGATGTACATATATATATAATCAGTTATAACTTTTTCCATTTTTCTTTAAAGCTAATTTCAATAACATTATTGGCTATAAGAAACTCTAGGTTCGATCCCCGCGGCAGACACAGCACAGAGATACCATTGTGCAGCTTTGCACTAAAAAAACAAAGGAACGGTTCTAATATTCAAAGTAGTTATAAATATATATTACTGGAAACAATTATGGAAAATGGTAGTAAAAACAAATACTACGGGAATGCCAATTTATGGTGTGAAAATAAACCGTTCCAGACTACAGTCATGTGTTGTTAGTTTACCCTGTAATTTGTTCTCATTCAAACTATCCACACCAGTAAAAATCCTATAAAAGCATAGGCAGCCATATTATACCCAGTAGTAGTAGTAGTAGTAGTAGTAGTAGTATGATTTCAGTCATGGATCCCAGAACTGAAACGCTACACTGACAAACGTGTAAAATCAAAGTTGTGGCTGCTCAAGAATACTCCAAGCAAAAAAATGACGGTGAGACTCCATGTTTCAGTAGGAGATGTTTACAATATTCTGAATAGAGTACATGAAAACGTCGCTCTTAAATAGAAGTGGTTGTAGTAGAAAACTGAAACTCTAAAAGCGGTGTAAAATATCTTAGTTTACGAAATAAACGTCTGTCGAGTACAGATCTTGCCAACGACCTTGCTGTATCTACAGGTGTTAATATTACCTTGAGAATACTGAAATACTGTAAAGCTGCTCAAGCAACGCTGCTGAGAACATGTAATCAAACCAAAAGGTTGAATGAGTAGAGCTGAAGGAAGACATGTTTTTTTTACTGGTAAATCCAAGTTCGAATTTTTTTGTCAACAACCAACAACAGGTTGTTCGACAGTAGATATGAGGTTGGTATCATAGTCAGTACACAACATGTACATTGAAGCATAGTGAAGAATCAGTACAATTTTGGATTGCATTTTAGCCAACAGCATCAGTAATCAACACAAAATCGATGGCACCCTGACTGCTGACTAGTATAGGTAGATTCTGATCCATCATAACATTCCCAAGGGAACACGACCCATCAGATAGAAATTCATCATCCAGAAAACAATGGTCCCAATAACAGAAACAAATGTGATGAAATGATATATTGAAGGTATAGAGACAGATATGATACACACAACCATGGCTTGGCCTGAACACACTCCCTATACGAACATTATTGGGCATTTATCGACTTATGTAAAAACTGAAAAAATCAAAATACGACCAAACAGTGGCTTACTATTGAAGAGTAAATGAGACATTTAAAGCAATATTTCATAACTGTACACTGAAAACAATGTGTAGTGTTCTGTCGAAGGCAAAGCGCTCATATACAAAACACTAATTTATTACAGCTTATTCGCTTTTATTTTGTATTCTATGCGATAATATTTTCTAGTATTATTAAATTCACCATACAGTTCCATTACTTTATATGCATGTATGCATATATATATATATAATTCTTATACTTATGAAAATGATTTTGCATTACTTGGATTTAGGATTAACCTAAATCGCCTAAGTTGGCCGAAGCTCTTCAGTCTAAATCTGAAAATGTCGATAGTACCAAGGATACCAATTGGTGATTCAATGCAATATAATCATCACTGGTATTGACTTATGACGTTAAGTACTTTCGAAAAGCTAAGAGCAGCCAATTGATGAATAGAATTAAGCTATAGTTTTAAAATATATATTGTAATGCGTTTCGGCATTCTGCATTTGGGTTTAATTAAAATTAACATTTCTGACACGTCGTTGTAATATTTTCATCTCCCACAGCTAACATGTATACTTTACGCAAAATTCTTCCGACCCAGGTCGTGGTTACCCATCAACCTGTAATAACAAACATAAGGTATATAATTTAGTTTGCATGACATTTTTTTTTCTCATTTTATTATTTTCTTTATACTGCCTGCCATGGCCTGGTGGTTAAGGCGTATAAATCACAATTTACGGGTCGTAGGACCGAAACCCGTCACCGAACATGATCGCTCTTTCTGTCTTGAAAGCGTTATAATGTGACAGTCAGTCCCGTTATTCGTTGGCATAGAAAAACCCAAGAGTTAGTGGTAGGTGGTGTGAACTAGCTGCCTTCCCTCTAGTCTGTTTTAGGGACGACTAGCGCAGGTAGCCCCTGAGAACTTTTGATGGAAGTGCGATAACTAAAAAACAAACATTCTTATGGAAAAATAAAAAAATTAGATATTGATAATGTTCAATTGATCGTTAAACTTGTATTATGTGAATAGTTTTACCTTTTGATCGTCAAACTTGTATTATGTATATAGTTTTACCTTTTGATCGTCAAACTTGTATTATGTATATAGTTTTACCTTTTGATCGTCAAACTTGTATTATGTATATAGTTTTACCTTTTGAGCGTTAAACTTGTATTATGTATATAGTTTTATCTTTCGATCGTCAAACTTGTATTATGTGAATAGTTTTACCTTTTGATCGTCAAACTTGTATTATGTGTATAGTTTTTATTTTGATCGTTAAACTTGTATTATGTATACAGTTTTATCTTTCGGTCGTCAAACTTGTATTATGTATATAGTTTTATCTTTTGATCGTCAAACCTGTATTATGTATATAGTTTTACCTTTTGATCGTCAAACTTGTCTTATGTATATAGTTTTACCTTTTGATCGTCAAACTTGTATTATGTATACAGTTTTATCTTTCGGTCGTCAAATTTGTATTATGTATATAGTTTTACCTTTTGATCGTCAAACTTGTATTATGTATATAATTTTACCTTTTGATCGTCAAACTTGTATTATGTATATAGTTTTACCTTCAATGTGTATTTTAACTTACCATACATTTTTCCTTCGTCGGAAAGTATGATTTTTCTCCGTCCACAAGGCGGATAAATCGCTAATGCTTCTTGAAAGCTCTGTTCTATATCGGCACTCCATACACCTTCGGTGTCATTAGCACCTATTTCCCCCTTTCCCATTGTTGAACTGTCTCTGCTGTTGCTGTCGTCCGATCCGTGAAGATCAGGAGGTGGGGGCGCTGCAGTGCCATCGCTAGATGGTGCTGAGTTTGGGCCCGAAAGGGGCGGGGCTGGATTCCAGTGAGAGGAAATCGTGGCGGCTGGTAACGGAACTCTACGTACTGAAATTATAATTAAAAAATTAATAAAACGTAAATTTCCAGAAAAGCAATATAATACTACTGAAATTTCCAATTCAGATACAAAAATATAAATTCTGATTACTAGTTATATGTTTGACTTTACAAGATATCTAATACTATAAAACACAGTGTGTATCTGTCTGTCTGTCAGTCTCTTGGTCACGCACTGATGTCATGGCAATTTATTACGTAATTTAAGTAGTTTGGCTTCCTGTCAATTAGAAGTGAGTAGTCTACGACTGGTCGAAAATTAAAGAAATATCTGGACTAAAATGTACAAAAAATTGCACTTTTTTCGCAATTTGAAAACGTATTTTAGTTAAATCGTTGAGTTACGCCAGAAAAGAAGTAAATATACTTTAGTAGACATTTTATACAACATATTAAAAGCTTATCAAAGTTTAAAAAAAAAAGTCTAACGTTAGGTCGTACAATAATATTATAAGATTATTTATTGATAGTATTAAGTGCGGTAAGGTTTAGCCCTAAATGAACTAAAGCAAAAACTTACACAAGTTACGGTGTTAATTTATCTCTTTATCGAATATAGGCCGTACTTAATAAAGGCTTAGGTAATGTTAGGCCTAAAACAAGTGGAATTATAGATTTCGCTGTCTGCGATTAGAATTCTTTTGTATTACTCTAGAAATCCTGTATTTAAAGAAGTGCTGTTGCAATAAAGATACTAATTTGGCCGCAAATGTTTTGTGGGTCTCTGCTAGTCAACAATAAAAGAAAGTATAATAAAAATTCAAGCAAACATATGAAACAAAAAACTGTGAAATCACAAAGTATTGTACAATTATTGAGACCGGCCAAGTGGGTGACACTGTAGATCTGAAGTTCCATGGTTCGTGTCCCTTTACTGCCAACAAATAAATATCGCACTCCACACTTCGATATGACAAGAGTAGCCCACGAGTTGGCGGTGGGTAGTGTTGACTAGTTGCCTTCTTTCTAGTCAATCACTTCAAAATGTTCTCATGTAGCTTTGCATGAAATTCACTAAAACAAACAAACAAACAATACAACTGTTTGTTTATGTAGCAGCATAAACGCCTGAATGTGTACTGACAAATATGGGTGTTTAAGCCCCACAATAGATACAGCTTAGTAAAAACAAAGCTATTGTTTTAGGTTATGGTTTTACGTCACGCGATAAGTGCGTGACTAGAATTTTTGTCCAACATTTTAGGATAGTTTGAGCAGTACAAAATACGATTTAGGCTAAAGTAAAGTTTAAATGATTTTTGAGTCTATTAGAAATTTACATTATGTCTGAAGTAATAAGTTATTATGTGACTGAGTTTGAGGGGATTGTGGGGGTAGGATGACGTAGGAGTCGGGTCCGAACGCCGACTTCTACCCCTCATGATACTCCTCGTGGTAGACTAAGCGTGCATGCCAAGTTTGGTTGAAATCGGAAAAAAAGTGTAGGCGTGAAAAACGGACGCATAGACAACATATCTGCTTTATATACATTATAGTTAACACAAGAAATAGAAATTAATCAAATTACTTAATACCGTGTCCAGAGTCTAAATTATGACTCCCTAGGGCAGAATTAGTTAGTTATGTGATTATTATTGGTATTACGTTTCAAAAATATTCCAGCAACTTTAGTAACGGAAACTTTAAAAGTGGAGTGTTGATGTTTCCGCGTATTTGTTGAATTACTTTAGTTAACTGAAAACAAAATACATAAAACGTTATTGAATAATGATCATAGATGTTTTATCAATAATGGGTGGTATATATACAGGGTGTCAAAGAATTTTGGAAACACTTTTGAAAATCCATACCGAGAAAACTGTTAAACATAGAGAGACACACACACGATTTGTTGCATGTGCAAAAATAATATTTAAAGTTTTTTTTTATAGCATATAATCACCGTTGTTCAAAATGTGCACCACAAGTTACCTGCAAAATGTCCAGTCTGTATCCCAAAGTGACCATAAATATCAGGTGGTCAAACCGGGATACCGTTAATCATCGCGACATAAGAATTCAGTTTAGGCCTAATAATTTAATATTCAAGATACATGGTGGTAAAGTCTGAGAACATCACATCATTTACTGATCACGTGACTGATGATGTCATTGCAACAGGCCAGTATGATGTCATTTATATTTACAACGATAGAAACCGGGTTTCGATACCCGTGGTGGGCAGAGCCCATGGTGCAACTTTGTGCTTAATTACAAACAAACATTAATGTTGGTTAGATTTTCTACATTTCGTCTCTAGCTACTACAATAATGACCAAGAAAAGTAGATGAGTATTATGTTTGTTTTTTAAACTTTAACTTTCAGGCAATTGTGGAGTCACCTAGCAAAAACAAATTAAAAAAAAGGTAAGTTAAAGCCGGGACACTTGTTACGTGATTTGTAAAGACTTCTTGGATGCGTTGATTAAATTCATCCTAATTCGTAACAGCGTGGAGAGACACGATTTTGCTGGAATAACATATTAAGTTATAATGTTTCCAATTTTAGCAAACCAAACTTCTGCAGCATGTCAAAGTATGTGCTACCTGTAACAGTTGCCGCTAAGAAAAAGTATGAACCAATGACAGTGTTACTGGTAAATGCTGCCCAGACGTTCACTATTGGACTGGATCTCACATGTTCACGTGCTGACAAAAACAACAACACTTACTCTAAACATCATTCTTGCGCGTGCAACAAACCATGTGTCTCTATGTTAAATGGTTTTCCCGGGATGGTCTTCAAACATTTTTCCAAAATTCTTGGACACGTTGTGCTGTGTTCAATATGGTTGTTCTATCGTTCTAATTATCGAGAAGTTACTTTTAATTTCGATTTTATGTAACCGTAATTCCCTCTTAAAAACAGAATTAAAGGCCTTCAAATAGTAAGAAATTTGTATACTTCTTAAACACTTTGATTACAATAGACTTGGGCCAATACAGTGCTCTTAAAGCTTGTGCTGCTTTAACGCGTTTTGTTTTATATAATAAGATAATAATAATAATGATTTTTGAAAGAAATAAAGTATGGAAATGATTACAGATAGAGATCTAGTCAAGCCCCCCAGTGACACAGCGGTATGTCTGCGGACTTACAACGCTAGAAACCGGGTTTCGATACCCGTGGTGGGCAGAGCACAGATAGCCCATTGTGTAGCTTTGTGCTTAATTACAAACAAACAAAGATCTAGTCAAAACAAATACAAGAAATGAAAACACTGGCGGGCTGGAACAAAAACATCATCAACAACAAAGGTTTTAGAAAATAAAAAATAATGTTACAAGTGTATGAGATATAAAACTTGTTTTAAAATTAAAATTATGACTTTAATATGCTGACTTCACTATTTCCTGTTCCTGTTTATCAAACACGCGCTCCTGATTCGTTACCACAAAGTATTAAAGACTTTTTGGGGCATACATGAATTTGTAAAATTGCATGTATTTAACTCTCTCCTGTTCCTGTTCTTAAAATACGAGATCCTGATTCTTTACTGCAGCATTTTCGAGTGTTTTTGGGCATACATGAATCTGTAAAACTGCATTTTCTTCACTTTCTCCTGTTCCTATTTAACTTGATTCTTTAACACACTGTATTCAGATATTTTTGTAATTGGCTTGTTTTACAATAGTTTACAACAAATCAAGGAACACAGTTAATTACAATGTTTTTTCCAAACTATAAATAATTTACAACCTTATACGAAATGTACTCGTCTTTTCCTTGAAACAAGTGGATCAGTATTTTTTTTTTTATAAAGCAAGACTAGGCTTAAATTATGTAGTCGACAAAGATACACTACTAGTGGGATATGTGAGACCTTTACCCTCATACTGCGCCTAATCCCTTTGCCTTTAGACATTAGAGACATCGACAGATTTGGACACAAGAAACATTGCCCAAACAAATCTTACGCCAAGTAACTTATTAGCGAAGAATAATAAAAGGTGTACGTCTGAAATACTATTTCTGATTTCCAAATTCTAAGTATTACGACGTTATCAGCAAATTAACAATCTATTACTTTTATTCCTAACTGTGGTTCCAATTGGACAAAACGAAATTGTCTGTTGACTAGAAAGCACAACCAGTTGATCGTGAGAGACTCAACCAGCCAATGACTTTGAAGCACATATCTCAAACATAGTAGAGAACCCATCATGACAATAATATCCATGGCCAATTGTCACGAAGTTCAAAACCTAATATCCTACTGATCTTCTCAGCATGTGGTCTGGGATAGTCTCTCACCTCCTTATTAACCTTGATTCAGGTCGTATTGACGACATCTGTTGTTTAATCCTTTCAGAGCAACACTTCATAACGTACATGTGATTTCAAAGAATAAGCAAGAAGAAAACTAGACTGTCAATACCCACTCTTAAGATAAAATATATTCTGAGAATTTTAGGTCATTAACTACATATGTAACTAATATCATTACTTTTTGATATTCTTATTTCAATGGTAGAAATATAGGAGCTGTGTGTTATTGAAGTACTTTTGTTTTTTTCTCTTCAGATTTTAGTTTCAAAGAACTGTGTTAGTCTGAAGTAACATAGAAATCAACAGCAATATTTACTTACAGCAACTAATAAACCGAGAACGTTTTAAGAATTACTGACAGAAAAAGTAGTATGTATCCATACTGACACAGAAAATAACAGCTCTGTTAATCTACAGGATGGTCCAAAAAACTGCTGCCCCACACTTTAATCTCTTTTACTGTTCTTCGGGAACAAAATTTTGGGTCACTTATACAACATGACATAAACCAACAAAACAGTAGTACATACTGATATCAAGACAAGAAAATAACAGCTCTGTTAGTCAGTAACACGATATAAACCAACAGTATTGTTTACTCGGACGAGTCTAGGAACTAGCAGAGCTGTTTCTCTACCTTGACAAGACAAAACAATAGTAATACTGATATCAAGATAACAAAACAACAGCTCTGTCAGTCTGTAAAACAACATAAACCAACAGTACTGTTTACCTGGATAACGCTAGAAAACCAGCAGAGCTGTTTCTCTACATTGACAAGACAAAACAGTAGTACATACTGATATCAAGATAACAAAACAACAGCTCTGTCAGTCTGTAAGACAACATAAACCAACAGTACTGTTTACCCGGACGAGTCTAGGAACTAGCAGAGCTGTTTCTCTACATTGACAAAACAAAACAATAGTACATACTGATATCAAGATAACAAAACAACAGCTCTGTTAGTCTGTAAGACAACATAAACCAACAGTACTATTTACCTAGATAACGCTAGAAAACCAGCAGAGCTGTTTCTCTACATTGACAAGACAAAACAGTAGTACATACTGATATCAAGATAACAAAACAACAGCTCTGTCAGTCTGTAAGACAACATAAACCAACAGTACTGTTTACCTAGATAACGCTAGAAAACCAGCAGAGCTGTTTTCTTAATCTTTTTCAAAACAGTAACAAAACAAATCAGTGATATATATTCATATTAAAACAGCATAACATGAACTATGTTAATTTATAACACAAACATAAACCCCAAATATTGTTAGGCTCTAACATGACATAAAACAACAGTATTGATTACCTTGATAAGGCTAGAAAACCAGGGGAGGTGTTTTCCTACAGTCACAGAGGCAAATTCTGGTTCAATTATAATTACCTGAAGAAAGACAGAATACAACAATGAAATGTTGAGAAGAAAGAAAGAGAAATTAAGTCTACAGCGCTTAGCTTGACGCAATAAGTATGTGCGTTACTTCTTCGGTTTCAGGAAATGCTCAACTTCCGAAATTGTTTTCAGGCTTGGAACTTTATCAGACACAGTGGTTTGTAACATCCTGGATTTTTTGTTTTTACAGGTGAGCTAACTATCTGTCAATAAAAACCGGTTCTAGCGACCTGTTTTTGATATAGTAAGCTACAGAAACCCCAAAACTAGAACCACTATGGAAGAGTGACGTATGGGGAGTGCCAGGGCGGAAATGGGAAGGGGGGAGGGTCTCTATTTCTAGAAACTGGAACCACGAGAACCTGACGCGAGCTCTACCCTCTATCACTGATATCTCAAGGTTAATTCCCGTCAGCTTTGATAGTTACTGTCCATGTCTTTAGACATTATTAATCATTAAGACACGCGCTGTCGTATATACTTAGATGGGCGAAACGACTAGGCTGGATTATTTTTTTATGCACGGGATTCACTCTGAAAGTTCAGTCAACTTGAAAAGTCGTGGGTGATATACCTACGGCTGGAAACTGACTCTGAACAGGTCAAATATTATGTCGATCCTGTTTAACCAAGCATACCACACGAGCTTGGAAACGACTTGTAATATTCATCCATGAATTGTACATCGACAACATCATAGAATACACTTCTAGACTACTTGTAACATCATCATACATTCCAAACAGCTCACAGGAAGATGATTCTACAAGTTTGTAGACAGTTTCACCCTTTGGGTGACGATTACTGCGGCCATTTAGTGTGTCTGTGTCTGGGGGGTATGTGTGGGATGACCGTTTGCTGATTAAACTCGAATGAATGACATCGTAAATCAAAGAGTGACGTGTAAAAGTAGACAAAGGACGAGCCATGAGGGCATTTAAGTCGTCGCCACTGAGATAAGCATGGCGCCCGAAAATGAAAAAATAAACTATAGTTCCTGGTTGTTTTTTGTTTTGTTTTAGCTGTTGTTTGTTATATGTAATAATAATGACGTAGTACCAAACCTTTGTTACCTAGAACATTCTTTGTTTTAGACCTTATATTTACCGAAGTGCACCACGTGAATATACTCTGACTGTACCAAACCTTTGTTACCTACAACAGAATAATCCATTCTTTGTTTTAGACCTTATATTTACCGGAGTGCACTACGTAAATATACTCTGACTGTACCAAACCATTGTTACCTGCAACATTCTTTGTTTTAGACCTTATATTTACTGGAGTGCACTACGTATACAGTCAGAGTATATTCCTCAAAATACACTCCAAATTGGCAACTATTAAGACTACCTACTCCTCACAGGAAAGTAAGAAAAGTACATTTAATCAGTTATGCTCATTACCGGGTTCATTTTTTTTCATTTTAACCTGTCAGTTCTGTCAGCATACAGTTGTTATAAGTTTTCACTCTTTTTGTACTTTGTTTGTTTAACCAGATAAAAATGGTGGAATAAACTCCCTTAATTAAGGGTGATTTTTCTTTCCCGTTTTGATAAATATATATTCTCTTAGAGACAAGTGATAATAGTTACACATACATATGCATGAGACTCTGAATAGCTTATACAAGATTTATCTACAACAAACATTTACTTATTTCTACACCAGATGGCTCTTCGATGTCAACTGTTTTAAACCGCTTTCTCAAGATAAACAACATTGGGTTGATTACTTTATTTTTAGTGCTGGTCTCATTGACTGGCTTACTTTTTTATCAAAAGTTACTCACAAGAAACTGATAATCATGACCTGTAATTTTAAGAATCCACGAGTGAAAGAAGGATGTATTATAATATCCTAACCACCTTTAACCCGCCGTATCCAGTCTCGACGATGTTCTTCGCCAGTGCTCCTCATGTCGGTTGGGATATTACAGTTGTAATAGCGGTATAGGCGTTATTATAATATCATACATTATCTTAAATAATTGTTATGGTGTAAAACAAATTCAACAAGTTAATTGTATTTAATATCAATACTATTTACGTAAATTACATATGACATTTTTTAGGCGATAATTATTGACACAACATTATTTATTTTATTTTAACATTATTCATTTATTTATAATTTTATTATTATTATTCTATTTGAATTAATTTTAATTTCATTCAAAAATCACTGGCGAACCAGCAGGCTAGTCTTCTTGTAATGCTTGAATTATTTCTAAACATATGAGATATTTCTGAATGATACAGTATGGAATGGCTCAGTGCGTAGCTTTTTCGTTTTTTAAATAACAGCTTCTATATGTGTGTGTGTTTGTATATACACATAAATTATACGTTTATTTTCTATATCTTGCTTCAGATTAGTAAGGCTGCTGAAATTATATATGTGTACGGTGACTAATAAATGACTCCCACATGCATGACACAGCAATGTGTACATCCTCGAGTGTTCGCATATGTTCGCTAATTAAGGGCCGTTGCCCGTCGTTTTCTTAGTACACGCTATGCGTAACAAGAACCCCGCACAATAATGTAAAACAACTGTATGCGACCAGTCGCCTAATTCGACGAATTTTATCACGATTTAGTTTAAACTACACGTTTCTACCTATGCTGCATCAAAATGTTATATCTAAGTTTAGTGACATTTATAATCGTATAGCTAGCTCAACATCTCCGTGACTTTCTAGAAGTCTACTGTTCAACATTATAGGAGAGATAAAGGTCACCAACACTTCATTATAAGTCAGCCCAGCATGACCAGGTGGTTAGGGCGCTCGACTCGCAATCTGAGGGTCGCGGGTTCGAATCCCCGTCCCACCAAACATGCTCGCCTTTGTAGCCGTGGGGGCGTTATAATGTTACGGTCAATCCCACTATTCGTTGGTAAAAAGAGTAGCCCAAGAGTTGGCGGTGGGTGGTGATGACTAGCTGTCTTCCCTCTAATCTTACACTGCTAACTTAGGGACGACTAGCGCAGATAGCCCTCGTGTAGCGAACTTCGAAACAATCATTATAAGTTTCGACAAAACAAAAGTCATAGTTTATCATACAACACAGGTGAGAGAAAGTACAAATAACGTTCAAAACTCATCACAGCTCCCACTACACTTCCACTACAAAGGTGTAATGGCAAATCAAATTATTCCCACCGTATCCCATTTGTTCATGAAATACGGCTGTATTGTTACACGTTCAATTTTATATTATGGTATTTTCATGTTCGTGTACGTTTGGTTCTCACTATCAATCAATCTAACTTTGAGTACAGGTAGTCTGGTCACCAAGACAAAAACCGTCCAGAGTGATCCAGGATTTCCGGTTCTGTGAGCCAGGTTTTTTGGGAAATTTCTTAGAGAAATACGATCTATATAGAGTGAAAGGAAGTGTGTAGTTGTGAGTTTCTGGAAAGAAGCTTCGGACTTGACGAACATTCCCTTCTCGGACATGACGTGATCTGCCTTCTGCGCACGAGGTCTTTCTTCTCCATTAAGCAGCTCCAGCAAACAGCCAGCCGGAGGACAGACACAATAGGCTTCTCATCCATTGTAGTGACGCCTGCTTTAGGCTATTTCAGCCTTGAGCAGCTGCCAGTTTTTCCGTATACGCTAGTGACCCACAGCCAGTTTGTTTCACATTACACTCCTACCATACAGTTGATTATATGCAACGTTTGGTCGGACATTCTCAGCTCTCTCCCTCTCTCCCCCTCTCTCTCTCTCTATATATATATATTCTAATTCTAGGACCAAAATCCTCAGAATATAACTTATTTCCGACAACCGGGACAAATCATTAATTTTCTAGTTGCCTAGGTTTTTTAAATTATGCCCAAAACATGCAAATTTAGATTTTAATTAGTTAGTGGTTCCTTTATAATAAACTGTTGTTGAACGTTTGCAAAATAAAACAAACGAAATCGTTAGTAGAAATTTTACGCTCACTTCAAATGTTAACGTAAACACTATCAGATGAATATCATATTTTCATTTTCAGACTTTTCAAATTTCATCATCATACAGTTACATTCAGGCATCTCTGCACATTTATAGCAGGAGGAATATTCATTACAATACACGAACCTATGGCACGTTTAGTTAATATGAAGTTTTTATATAGCCACATTGTATAAATTTATAAGGTAGTTCCTGTGCCTTATCTAGGTATTAAACGATAAAACCACCACTGATAACCGGTTATGGACGCTTTCTCTAGATTACATTTTAGCGTATTTTTAGGGCCTAGTGTTTTTGTTTGGTTTTTTAACCTTTCAAACTTATTGACTATGTTATACATGTTAGCAAGTTGTTGGTAACTGAAACTTTGAATTTATACATTTCGCAAAAAAAATACTTTCTGATGAACAGCGTTTTACCATATGTCTTTATCACTACAAATTTTAATATGTCTACAGATACGGCGATATATATATATATATATATATATAGAGAGAGAGAGAGGAGGAGG